CTACATTCACTCTTACAATTGCAGCAACTATTCCCCATCCCTCTACAGTCTACACCATCTATTAATTTAGAAAAAAAGAGAAGGAGAAACATGGAAAGAAATCAATACAAGAAACAGATATGAAGAAATAGAGAGTTATGGTAGCTGGCCAGGCTCTCAACAAATGTAAGTTGTAAGTCACTTGTTCAGCAGGTACTGTCAGGGCAGCCACATCATTGAGAATTACTGACTAGGTGCCTGCTATATGTGATCTGCCTGCATCCCTACTACAGAATGATTGTGTTTGAGTGTGAGTGTTAGCGGCACTGGGGTCATATGTCTACATTGCCACTGTGAGTGACCCTCCTAGCCGAAGTGTAGAGGTTGCAGTTGGGACTGCAGTTCCTGCTTTTAAGGCCCCCTGATCTCCTGGGCTGTACTCAGGTGGCTAGCCTCAGTGCTGTCTGAGTCTCAACTTCTACATGGCTATTTTTAGTGTGTGAGCTCCAGCAGAGCTACTGCCAATCTGTCTACCTAGCTGGGAGGCTGCTCCCAGCTGCAGTGTACACATACACTTACACATACCCACCCAGCTCAGGTGTAAAACCCCACTATACTGGAGTGAGAGTTTTCTGAGTGTGGATGGGACTTAGGTTAGGGGCAACACTCAAGTAAGAACCTGAGTTAACTTTGCACTGAAGACAAGCACTCTCTGATTCAGCAAAGCCCTGATGCATGTACCCAAAGCCAAGTACACATTTACATACTTTGATGAAATGGGGTCACTTTGAGGCAGCAGTTCTTAACTTATTTATCATTGTGGGCTGCATATGCAGCTCTTTATGTGTTATATGGTCTGCAGCAACACAATATATATACTATGTCTATGGCCCTGAGGATGTCACATGGGCCGCAGCTGTATGCTGATTGGGCTGCAAACGGCCCATGGGCCACTGGTTGAGAACCACTGCTCTGAGGGAACATCTTATCCCAACACATAGGGGTATCAATCCTTGCTAACTGAGACAGGAGGAAGGCAAATCTCCCCTCTTTCCCCCCCTCCCACCCCATGTTCAGGGCTGGATTAACTCTCCTGTGGGCGCGGGGCTATTAGATTTTGTGGGGCCCATGTATACAAGTCTTTTTCCTAATTTAAAACAAAATGATCACAATTATGGCATCAAGTCTATTAATGCTATACTAAACTTGCCTTTTAATTAACATAAAGCCAGTCTGTGGTTACATTTCAGTTGTAAAACATGTGGAATATAGTTAAGTTAATTCAAAATAGCCTACTTCTTACCTTAGAACAGCTGTTATATTAGTTTTTTTCTGGGAGGGAGTTTGGGTGCAGGAGGGGGCTCCAGGCTGGTGCAGAGTGTTGGGGTGCAGGAGAAGGTGAGGAGTGTGGGCTCTCACAGGGTGTTTGGTGCAGGAAGGGATTCTGACCTGAGGCATGGGGTTGAGATGGAGGAGAGGGTGAGAGATGCAGGCTCTGGCTGGGAGGCACTTACCAAAGGTGGCTCCCGGCCGGCGGTGCAGCAAGTCTCAGGCAGGCTGCCTGCCTGCCATAGCCCCACACCGCTCCCGGAAGCAGCCAGCTGCTGGCACGTCTCTGCACACCCCTGGGGAGAGGGGGACAGCATGCCTCTGTGCACTGCCCGTGCCCGCAAGTGCCTCCCCAACAGCTTCCATTGGCCGGTTCCTGGGCAATGGGAGCTGCAGGGACAGTGCTGAGGGCGGGGGCAGTGCGCGGAGCTGCCTTCGCCCCCCGCCAGGGGCCGCAGAGACGTGCCAGCAGCCGTCTGCTTCCAGGAGCGATGTGGGACCATAGCATGCAGGCAGCCTGCCTGAGCCCTGCTGCACCGCTGGACTTTTAGTGGCCCAGAGATCACGATCAACTGGCAGAAGCTCCAGGATCGACCAGTCGATTGTGATCGACGGGGTGGTTACCACTGAATTGTATATAATTATGGATTTATTTTTGCGGGGGCCCTCCTTAGTCCGAGGCCCTGGGCTGCAGCCTCTAAAGCCCCTGTGTTAATCTGGCCCTGCCCATGTTCTGGGCCCCTCTCCTTTGAGAGAAAACCTGCCCTGGGCCTAAGCTAAATTCAGATTTTTGGAGCAGAAATTCAGCCCTTCTCTAACCTACCCATTTTCTTACCACTAAAGGTGGTTATGCTCTGAAAAGTGACTTTATAAATGGTATTGCAGAGCTCCATGTTTACTGTCTCAGTGATATTGAGACCATCCTTGTTCACTTTACTTGTAACAAGCACATAGACAACCTTTTTAATTGGGGGGGAAGCAGAATTAATTAAAGGACACATAAGAACTGGAGGACAAATTGCAGCAACTGCAAATATTTTCTCATGATATTGGGTTAGAAATGAACACGTCGAAGACGAAGTGGATGCAGAATAAGCATGGTGCAGAAGGAATCATCTCTGTAAACGGGAAAGAAATCAAGGCGGTCAACAAATATATTTTTCTGGGTCAGCAGCTGAGCAGAGACAACTCATTCGAAGGGGAATGCAGTAGGAGGTGAAATGCGGGGTGGGCAAGTTTCAACAAAATAAAGGCGTCTCTAACGGATGATGAACTGCCCAGGAACAAAAGGAAAGAACTGTTTAACTCCCTGGTTCTGCCAGCAATGATGTACAGAGCGGAAAGCTGGTCAATGACGAAAGCAGAGGAAGAAAAACTCGCTGTCACCCAGAGAGCAATGGAAAGGCAAATGTGTAAGATATTGCTCTGTGATCATATATCGAATGAGGAGATCAGAAGGCGTACAGAGGTGACCGATTTGGTGCAGGCAATATACGATGCAAAGCGAAGATGGGTGGGTCCTGTAGTTCGCAGGCAAGACAATAGGTGGATAACCTGCATCAGTGACTGGATTCCCAGAGACCACAAGTGACTCCTGGGCAGACCAAAAATGCTCTGGGCCAATCCCATGACAAAACTCTTTGGCCAAAAATGGAAAGAACGTGCTCGCAACAAAATAGAATGGTGTGGTGTCAACTTGCATTAGTGGAGGGACGGACTGACAAAGGTGAGAATTAAAAATAATAAAATAATATCTGTTGAATCTCACTCTGAGTAGTTTTGTACCAGGATTAAATTTGCCACTTTTAATTAACAAGTTTATGTTCCAAACTCATGTTTCCTTTATTTATTAACACAATCCCTAATGGGCGCCGGGGGGGGTGTGTGTGTGCTCAGGCCCCCAAGCTCCCAGTTGTCTATGCCCATGGTGTAAATAGATGGGTTTTCTAATTGCTAGCCCAGACATCTCAACCTAGAATCTGTAGGTTAGATTGTGTTCTCTTTCTGCCTTATACATCAGGCCACTTTGGCAACAGAGATTTAGTGAACAGATCTGTTGATGTTACCTGAGCCAAGGAAGAATCTTATTTGTTGTCCCAATGTTGCAGTGGCTCTGCAGTGCTAAAAAGTAGCAAAATCTTATTTTTGAAAGCAATATAAAATGCTAGAATTCAGAATACACACAGGTATCAGAGCTGTTGAACAGTAACTCTTCTGGCTGCAACGGCATTGCAAAGGGAAAACAAATGTTGCCATAACCTGGTGAAACTTGACTCCCTCACAATGCACAGGATGAATGTATAGGAATGACTGATTGCAGCTATTACTTCAAAACTTGTAGGTAAAATAACTGAAAATCATGGTCTTCCTTTTGTGTTTTTATCCTGCTGTCTCAGTACATGTATGTGAACAGCTCCCATAGTTTAGTTTTCACATGCACATCAGTATAATAAGTAATATTATTTGGCACTTATTAGCACCTTGATTTGAGGATCTCATCCTGCTTTTCAAAAAAAGTATTGACATGGGCATTCTTTCCTTCAGGCTTTGGATAGTATCCTTCCCCTAATGTCTTTTCTTTATATACCGACAAACTATAAATCTTGGTTTTGTAGGCAGGCTTGTGTCAAGAATTACATAGGGATATTGCAAAAGCAGGAAGGGGGACCAGCGATCAGAAACGTACTGCTTAATCATCTTAATGGCACCTGCTAATAATGGACTAAACTGTAAATCTGTGGCTGGGATTCGATTACAGGGCCCTTTTGCTGCAGCACTGACTGAGCCATACTGATTTTCAAAATGGAGCTCAGCACTGGATTAAGCCTTCCCCGTTCTTCCCGAGTGACCCCTTTAGCTGCTACAAGAGAAGGTTCCTATCGTCATAGTTAAGGTACACTGCTGCTGGGATTGATGCATGGACTGAGATGGATCTTGGCCCTTTACCTGGTCATGAAATGCATTCAGATCAGGAGAATGACAAATCTCCACGTGCAAGTCTTGGAAAAGTTCCGCCGCACTCATCCAGAGGCCATTGGGAAAGCATACAGGATGCCCCTTCTACCTCTCCGGACACAGCTATCTGACTCGTGGTAAGACACAACCCGGCCGTCCCAGACACTCATCAGCACGAGGGGAAAGAACAGCTCCATCATGGCATAACAAAATGGAAAGGAAACTTTTCAAGTCCAGGGGCCACTTGCCAAAGGCTCAAGCAACAAACTGCTGGTGAGTTCGGCATAGTTTCTATGCGTGACAAAATGTCTCAAGCAACAGTATGGCCCTGTGGACACGACACAGCTTGCCAATATTTCCAAAAGGCGCTCTTCCGAGGGGGAGAGCGCTCCTGGGTGTCCTCAGCTGAACCGATTCACCCCGATCAGCAGCTCAGCTTCCGGCCTCCACCCTGGAAGCCAGATGGGCTTTGTAACTTCCATCTTCCTAGTGCAACCTCCCACGCCCAACAAGGTGCGTTTGAGTTACGCCGCTACCTTCCTATCCTCGCTCCCCCAGGGCAGGCCCCGCAGCCCTGCTCAGGAGTTGCCGAAGTTATTGCGCCAGCAGGGGCTAGGCTGCAGGAGAAGTTAGGGAGGCTGCTTTTTGGGGCGGGGGGCGTGCAGCGCTCCCGGGCCGCCTGCGTGGTGCTGCTGCATTGTGGGGGGAGGGGGGCTCTGCGGGCGGAGTGTGGGGTCCGTGCGCTGCAGGAGGTGTCACATGCAGTCCCCCCGCCCTTGCAAGGCCAGCCCGGGTTGGCTCCCTCCGAGCACACAGCTCCCCCGGCTCCCTCTCTCCTGCCTGCCGCTGCCGAAACGCCGCCCCCGCAGATTCGGCGCAGTGGCTGGTTGGCGCCCAGACGGGACAAGAGGGGTCAGTGTCGGGCGCAGGAGCTGGGACAAGAGCGGCGGCAGCAGCAGCGGAGCGGAGCCCAGCGCCAGGCTGCCCGGCCGCTGCTGCCTCCAATGCCATCACAGCAACAAAGAGCGCGCTGAGGAGCGGGGAAGAGGCGCCCGGGCTCCACCAGCACAGAGGGCAGCGGGGGAAGATGGCCAGGAAGGGGGAAGCCTCCACCTCTCCCTACGGTAAGCCCACCTGCCCCCCGCCGCCGGGAAAGGGGCGCCAGGCTGAGCGGGCGCTCGGTGCATGCGGATGGGGCGAGCCGGAGCCTCCGTCTGGCCTGTTTACATCGCGGCTCCAGCAAGTGAACAGCCGCAGCAAGAGTTTGTTTCCCTCGGCAGCTCCTGGGGGCTGGGCCCCCTCGACTCCCCGCGCGGAGCGAAGGGGCTGGGGCTCCCCTGCCTGCCGCTTGCGCGGGGGGACAGGGGTTTGGGAGCAGCTCCCTCCCCGCGGCGCGGGGGGCTTGTTGCTGCCTCCTCGGGGAGCTGGGAAAGTTGGGGCTCGGTGGGCGCAGGGCTGCGGGCGAGCGGGGGCCAGAACTCTTCGGAAAGCCGCCTGCTCCCCGGGGCCGGAGCAGGTGCATCGCCGCCGCTGGGCTCGGCTCTGGGGGGCTTGTCTGGGGCGGAGAGGTCCGAGCATCTGCTGCAGGGAGCTGGCCTTGGGCAGGAGAAGGTGCACTCGGACGGGGGTGCAGGCGGGTGCTCAGGCTAGGGGGGATCCGGAGCCCAGGATTGGGCGGCGGGGGAGGGGGATTGGCTTTGGGGAAGGTGGTGTGCTGGGGAGGGGAGCTGGGGCTGGAGCATTGGATTCGGGTTGGAGTGCTGGGCGAGTGTAGACAGTATTTTGGAGCTGGGGGTGCGGGGTTGTGTACACAGGGTGGAGGGGTGATGTGGCACTGGGCGGCTTCGCAGTGTTCTGATTTGGGGCGTAGGGGGAGTACTGGTCTGGACAGGAGGTGTAGAGCCTGGAGCCGGTGTACTGGGACTCAGCGAGCAGCTTGTCTCCTTGCCCGAGTCCTGCCAGCCGAAACGTCGCTTCCTCCAGCAGAAGGTCACCGGGGGGCACAACTTTATCTCTGTGCTTGAGCGCTGCTTTAATTGCTCCTGAGTAGCTAATTCATTTGCAGCAGAAGACAAGGTTTAGCAGGCTCCTTAATCCGTTTAAAGGCGACTCCATAAAACCAAGTGCAGTTTTCCTTTTACAATTATGCATGAGATTTCCATGGCAAAATATTTCCCTCTTTAATCTGCAGACTGAGCAGAAACCTCTTAGAAACAAGCCTCCTTTTCTCTGCATCCCAGTGGGCAGGTCATATCACAGATAATTTACACTAAGGGGCATACATGGAAATAAAACTCTTGCTTTGGTGTAATATGCATATTGTGTGACATGGCTGTAACTCAGAAAACCCAATTTTATGATTTAAGAACATAAGAATGGCAATACTGGGTCAGACCAAAGGTCCGTCCAGCCCAGTATCCTCTACTGACAGTGACCAATGCCAGGTGTCCCAGAGGGAGTGAACCTAACAGGTAATGATCAAGTGATCTCTCTCCTGCCATCCATCTCCACTCTCTGACAAACAGAGGCTAGGGACACCATTCCTTACCCATCCTGGCTAATAGCCTTTAATGGACTTAACCTCCATTAATTTATCTAGTTCTCTTTTAAACCCTGTCATAGTCCCAGCCTTCACAACCTTCCCAGGCAAGGAGTTCCACAGGTTGACTGTGCGCTGTATGAAGAAGGACTTCCATATATTTGTTTTAAACCTGCTACCCATTAATTTAATTTGGTAGTCCCTAGTTCTTATATTATGTGAACAAGTAAATAACTTTTCCCTATTCACTTTCTCCACACCACTCATGATTTTGTATACCTCTATCATATCTCCCCTTAGTCTCCTCTTTTCCAAGCTG